GCAACTAATAGAGTATTGAATATTAGAAATTCAGATAAAGATAAAAATTTACTCGTTGAATTTTCAATATTTTCTAATGTATTTGATAACGATGAATTATTCGCAACAGTATTGTTCGAATCAAGATTAAAGTCTGAAAAAATAAGCATTTTTCTAAAGATGATTTGGGTCATGCAACAGGTTTTATACCATTTTATTGTTAAATATTCATAGTAATTATTTATATGTAAAAGCACATAATGCCGAAAGTGTATCGTTATCATGTTGGTTAGTATTACTTCGTTCGATTCCTGTTGGTTAAAAATATCTTGACGATGGTTTAAATAATGCTCAACATTTGGAAAATTTCCTCTGGTAGTCAATATTTATGTTTTCCAGTTATCTATTAAAGAAAACGTTTTATTTTAATGATTCACTTGAATCTGTTAATTATCAACCAAATGATGAAATTTTATTAACAATAAATTTTGGTTTATAGATGAGATGTCGTCGAATTCTTTTCGTATTTTTACCATCATTGCTTTCAATAAGATTTTTTTCTTAAATTATCATCAAATTATTATTATCAAATGACTCTGGGACAATGGAGTAAAAAGTATATTTATTTGTTTATTCAAAAACATTTGAAGAAATAAAAATATAAGCCAATGTGAAAAACAAGGATCTTGTTCAAATATATTTGAATCATATTGTCCGATCGTTGTTATTGGTTTAGTTCTAACCGATGATGCTTCGTTCTGGACTAAAAAAGATCAAAATCAACTTATAGAAGCTATCGTTGACCAATATTCAACTCTTTATAACACAGACGTTGAATCCATGCATACACTTGTTCAATATTAGCTGAAAGAAAAATCAAGTAGAGGTTGTTGTGTTGGTTCTTATCCACCAAGTTCACCTTCTTCATGTCGAGATAGAAAAATATCTTTAATAAATGGAAGAATTTGGATGTCAGGTACTGAAAAGACTCGAGAATGGGTTCGTCATATTGAAGGAGCTATTGAAGCTACAAAGATTTCCACAAGATGTTATTTGTTCACTTTAGTTTTCATCGTTTTTTAATAAAAACTTATTTGTTAATAAAATAAAATAAAATATCGAATACAATCTTCAATTAAGCAGTCCCCGTGAAAATCAAGCAGAATTTTCCTTCAAAGCATAATTATATCTCTTTATTGTGTGTATAACAATAAGCAATATGTAAGAAAGTATTATTTCAAGTTAGAATAGATTAGATAGAATAGAAAGAAGAAAAAAAGAAATACACCACCTCGAAGAACGAATATCCATTCCGTATAGTCTGATGTTTCTAAGATAAAAAGCACTTTGATACACACATCATTTTCATTGGATAAATTCTTCACAATAAATTCTTCTAACTTTCCTACATGTGCGTCTGAAATTCGTTTTGAGTGAAACTCAATTGTTGCTATTCAAAATAGAAAGCTCTTGAAACTTGTAGCGCTACCTACGAAAAACGTCTCCCCTTTTGTCGGCAAAGATTGAGTTTCTCCTGAAACCAACTTCAGACTCATAAATGAAAATCTGGAGAGTCTCTTGTTAAAAATATATCCAATGAAAACAATCTATAGACCAAAGCGCACTTTTCCCTAGAATCACTTGACCACGGACCATCGTTCTTTGTGACCGAAATATTATTCACATTCAGTGATAAAAAAAACGCTTCTATAAGTCACAAATCTCTACATATTCGAATTTCTTTCAGTAATATTGTATGATGTCTTCAACAGTCGTAATAAACTCTAATCCAGAACAGGATGTTTCTAATTATGGACAACAAGGTGTCGCTTATCATAAACAACAAAATCCTGCTTATGAAGAGCAAGAAGTGGCTGCTGATGGAGAACAGCAAGATTATGGTCATCGCGAAGAGCAAAATGTAGGTAATCATGAATCACAAGATACTGTCGTTCATGTAGAAAAACATGCTGGTGATCATGAACATCAGAATACTGTTGATCATAAACAAAAAGGTGCTACCCATCGAAAACAGCAGATTATTGTTCATCATGGTGAACTAAATGAAGTCAAAATCGACGATGTAAACAAAGTCTTAGAAATGATTAACCAAGTATGACTGACCTTTCGGTTGATATATGTCGAATAATGACGACATGTTTTATATTTGCAGTATAATGAATGTAAGGCTAAACTAACATTATTGGATAGACAAATAACAGGTACTGGTGACAAGAAACACATGCAAGCTATCGATGAAAGAGAAAACATTTATTCACATATGGTTTCAATCAAAAGGAGCTACGGTAACTTTATTTAAGAATTTTTAATCAAAAAAATTATCATTATGTTTCGTCTTCTGTTTTACAGACGAAGCGTTAATATTGGTGACAACAAAACAAAATGATGATTATAATCTGGAATCACTCTTTAGTACTAGCAATACTTAAACAACAATTGACATTAACATTTGTGGTGGTTATTTTTACTTTGTTATATTAAAACTTCTTTTTCGATAAATAAAACCCTTGCAATGGTAATTTCGAATCAGATTTAGACATATCGAACTCGCTTAAGAGTATTATGATGATTTACTTATGGAAAAAAAATTTTTACAAGAAACTTGTTACAGAATCATCTCATCTCGACTGTAAAATTCAAAATTTCGATGCATGAAAAATTCAACGTTGAACCTTTCGTTTCTTGACGATTTAGTCCTATCGATTTGGGGAGAATTCTATAGTTTATATGCGCTGCAGGCGCAATTAAAGTATTTCGCTCAAATTGTAAAGACACCCAGTAAAGTTAGAAAATGTAAAAAAAATTAATAGAAAACGTTTTCGCCAGTGACAGTGATGATTAATAATGAGTTTATTGCATTATCAAATGTTTTAATTAAAATTAAATATCTTATTGCTCAGACAACAAAAAAATCAACTGACACTGATGTAGGTTGAATTTGAAAAAAAGCATTCTTATTTGAAGTTTAAAATCAATATTATAATTATTTGTTCACTATCTGTGAAGGAATATACAAGAGAATATTGTTAACAATGGAAGATGCTAGCGTATATTCAAGTTACAAGCGTAGTTCTCGATAGATTTTGAAAGTGAACTGAGTACGTGGTCAAATTTGTTGCAGACAGTTGAAAAATTCAAGACAAGAAAAGGAGAAGGGAAGGATGAGAAAATATTTGCATCACAAATAATATAAAATTTTCATTACTGTCAATGCTTATCTTATTTATTGACGTATTCTAGCAGATCATAGTAATCTGAAAATCAACAGACAAAAAACATAAATTACAGAAAATACATTAGATTATGTTTTTTGTATTTTACGATTCTCGCGGAGTATTTCAATTGTTGTCTGATTTGTTTAGTCATAGACAGTTTACAAAATATACTTGAATCTCTAAACACAAAATAACTATGAGGCTCACTATCTTTCTCGTGCCCATAACTTTATAATAATTTATTTAATTCAACAAGTACATGTATTAATTCTAATCTCGACCTTTTCGTATTTAGTATATTATTCAATTTTCTTGGATCAAATGTCTATTTACTACGTTTTACGTTCCTTAATTGTAATCTTAATCGATTTGTGAACAATTAATTTACATCAAGAAGAAGAATATGTAGTCAATATAAATGAGTTCACTCATTTTTGTCTATGTTCACCCGATAACTCAAGAAGAATGAACAAACAATGAATTCGTCTATTCATGAACAAGCTTGACTATTATTCAATGTTGCAATATTTACAACAGAACATTTTAACATTGTCGCTACCGACGGCAGCGGACACGTATATACAATGAACTTGATCGAAATGGCTCCAATTAATTATATATAAACGTATTGTTTTTGAGAGCATTGTGAATAACGGTGAACATGAATAATTCAGTGATTAGAATTGTTGATATACCTGAAGAAATGTTACTCGCTATTTTCAGAAAGCTCAATAATATTGATATTCTATATTCACTCGTGGGTGTGAATCAAAAACTTGATAAAGTAGCCTGCGATATTAATTTTACTCGAACTATTGACCTAACAATGTCATCATCAGATGAAGCGGAGTATTCAGGAACTAATACAATACTTGATCGATTTTGTATGCACATATTACCTCGAATTTATCAAAACATCGAGTATCTTATAATTCAAGGATGCTTTTCCCAACGCGTTCTTCATGCTAGCATTTATCCTAACCTACGCAAGCTCACTCTCATCAACCTTGAACTCAAAATGGCTTCTCATATGTTTAACGGTAAATTAATCGATCTATCAATACTCAAGAATTAGACAAATTCTTTGTATTTGTAAATTTTTAGGAAAATCGCCATTTATTCAGATCTTTAAACGCCAAATTTCAGACCTAGTCGTAACGATTAATAACAAAATTTCGAATAAACCAAAGAAGAAACTTGCAATTGGAGTTTATTTTAATATATTTGGCTTGATAGAAAATCTGAAATATTTGGATTTCAATGTAAATAACAATTATCCTTTCCCACGACCATTGCTAAGTAGTTTATCTTCTACTACATGTTTTTTGCCAAAAATTGCTCATCTATGCATTAAAATGCACAATTTTAACGATTGTCGTTGGCTGCTTGATGGCCGACTGTGTCAATTACATACATGCATTGTCGACGTTGATTATATTCGTAAATCCTCAATGATCATAAATAATACGGTGAGAAACTATAAACAATTGAAGAAAAATTCTTTCATTTTAGATTGAATTAAAAGTATCGAGAGATAGTTCTAAAAAGAATAGGCATTTTTAGAAAAAAGTGTAAGTCGGAAATGCACAGTATAGAGAACTAGTGAGTGGATAATTTAGCTTATATAATATTTGCCGATATTCCATTGTAAACGTCATTACTGGTTGATGAGCGTTCTAGATCTTTTTTATTTGTGATCGTTAAATAAGTTTGGTATTAAATAGATTTAAACTTCTGAAGAAAGAAGAAAAGTTTTGCTTATTAAATAAACGAAGAAGGCACGTTGAACATAATTACCAAATAAAAGATGAGAAATATTCTATTAGTTTGGTTTTCAACGTTTACACGAGAATATAAATAATGTATAGATTAGTTGCTCTTTTCTCATGCATTTATTATTAATTTCACTAAACAAATGTGAGGGTAAATTGTGATCTTTTTATCTCTGATTTTTCCTTTGCCCTATCTGAGTTAGTTCCGCATGGTTGATTATCTCTCAGTTGTTTTTCGATATTTATCTTTTGAATTTTCACTTGCCAATATTTTTTTAATTCTTTAGATAATTCGATGAAAATGGTATACCTTTATGAAACTACTTATACTTAAATAATATCAGAATACAAGAATATTTCTTCATCGGTAGGGTCGTATCTGAAAAGAATCAAGTAATTACTATCGAAATTTTATAGCAAGACATGTGGATAGAAACGTTTATAAATTTCGAACGAAAATTCATATCGAACTGCGGTTTCTAAAATTCAACAGAGATTAGCGTTGCTACATAAACCTATATATGGGGAAGGGTATTTTCCCTAAGCATGTATCCATGATAATTTTAATAGGCAGCACCAACCAAAAAAAATCAAAAACATTCTAGTTAATTCGCCTGGAAAAATACTTTTGGAAAACATCTCCAATACATGGGCTTTGCCCTGACGCTATTCTCTATTGAATGGTGAAAATCGTAGGTCGCTATGACGTTTTGTTCAAAAATGATCCGCATTTTTTCAACGTGCCTTCTAAAAGTTCGATCATAATAAACTAGAAGACTACTTTGAAAAAATAATCATTAGTCCGAAAATTATATACGATCATAGTTCGACAATGGTGCCCGAGTGAGATTTAACTGAAAAAATTGATCAATAGCGATACAATTATTCAATATGTCATTTAATGAAGAATAAAAGTAGTACTGAATAACATTTTTCTATGTTTATATTTTCTAGAACACTCGGCTTAAACTGAAATCTTTTTCGTTATACGTACGCCATCCAACAGTGGAATTCGATAATCAAGTTGTGCCGCTCCTTCGTCGAATGGTACGTATGGAAACGCTAACATTATCTCTTTCTGTTGTACGCCGAGCTTCATTTCTTGATGGTACTTATCTAGCTGATTCGATAATCAATCATATGTCTCGCCTGCATACATTTGTTTTCGACATTGTTACTCGTGGTACCATGACTAATGCAGAAATTCAACCATCTGCTGATGATATTCGACGGACGTTCGTACAAATTGGAATTCATGTTGATTGCTATATGGAATATGATTCACATGGAATAAGTCGATGTCATGTTTATTCGCTTCCGTTCACCATGACACATATACATATTATAACGTATAATTTTCCAGGTGGTATGTTCATCAATGTCCGCGTATTACGTATAATCGACTTTGTTCATTCTTTCGATCAGGCATTTTTTGCTCGAATTTCGCACGCCTTTCCATTACTCAGCCATCTATCACTAACAATTACAGGAGAATTAAAAGAGAAACCATCACGTCAGCTGAAAAATGTTGAAGAAACACGCTCAATTGTTGAGTACCCTCGTCTCAGTGAACTTACCTTTTTTGGCGCACATATCGACTATGTGGAACAATTTCTTTGCAACTTATATACGCATCTACCCTGTCTTAGCAAACTTTTTGTTGAATATCAACATTTGAATATTGTGACAGAAAATTTCACAAGAAATGCAACGCGTATGAACTGTGCAAAACTGAAGTATATTACTTTTGACCCTGAAATAAAAATGGTACATTCAAAAAACTTTTCTCTCTATTTTCCTTCATTGTAAATAATGTTTTTCTTGAGTGTAGTTATTAGATTTCGGTAATATTTCAATAAAGTTGAATGAAAATATCTGTTTAAAAAAAATATTCATATAACTATACCAGTTTAGTTTTTCTTGAGAGTTACAGCAGAATGTTTTAATGTTTGTAAGATCTTGAAATCGACTATTGTTTTCTTTTAACAGCCTTTAAAAGTAAAGAACAAAGAAGATTGACATGTAAAATAAATTGTTAATATGGAGAAAATGATGATATTCACTTTTCTTCAGCATGATTAAATTCTTGTAAACTAAGAAGCAATTTTTTCTCTTCTTGTTTTATTTTA